CGCCGGGCCCCGCACCCTCCCGGCCCAGTCACCGCAGAGGCTCTCAGGACCCCCGTCCGGCCTACCGGGCTCCACCTCCGGCCCGTTCCCGCGGCGGCCCAGCCGGCTTACTTGAGGTCGAGGGGTCGGAGGAGAGACACTGGGAAGCGTCCCGGGCCGGGGTCCTCCCCGCAGCGCTCTCTGGAAGCCGGGAAGGGAACGCGGCGCAGGACAAGGAAGTGCAGGCCTGGCAGCCCCACCTCCGGGAAAGTCCCCGCTGACTGACAGCCCGCTCACCCAATCGCGATTCGGATTGGAGGCGAGCCGCAGGGACTCCGGCGGAGGACTTGCCGAAAGCGTGCTTGCCCTGGCGAGCGGGGCCGGGCCGCGGGGCTTCATCCAGGGGAGCCCCTTAAACCTGCCTGTGCGCGCTACTTTTTAACCCCTAACTCACTGCCCCAGACACTGTAAACATTGCGTATGTTATTTTATTCTCACATCAACCCTTTGCAAAATTCAACTTCAAAAGTTAGATTTTTTTTCCCTTAGAGGCAAGTGGCTACTCCAAACTTTCCCTGGCCAAGGGCGTAAGCAGTACCCCTGCTTCTCCTCAGCCCAGAAGAATGACCACAATTTGAAGATGCTGAGGCCGGGAGGTCCAGCCCAGTCGCATTCCTGGAGGACGGGCTGAGAGAGGCCCAGGTCCAGGAAGGGATGGAACAAGCCCAGGCGAGTCCTTGGTTCCATTGTTTTCCTTCTGTCCTTGCTATAAAAGACGGGCACAGCTGTGCGGGCCAGGCGATGGTGATTTAAGGCCAGTGTACCCACCCCCAGGAACCTGAGGGGCTGATAACCCTTGTGAGTTTTACCATAAAGGATCTACAAGGTACACGATGGCTAGATGACCTGCACACTGGGCTGAACCAAGATGCAAGCCCGGGTGGGCATATCCAAAAGCTCCCCTCTGTCCTGTCTACCTGTGTGCTAGATAAGCACAGGAGGCAGCCTCTACCTGTGTGATAAACACAGGAGGTACGGGTCTACGGATTTAGCTCAGTGGTTTTGCCACCTGCCTGGCAAGCAAAAGGTCCCGAGTTCAATCCCTGGTACAAAACAAAACAAAGCAACAACAAAATAAACGGGCAGGAGGAGTGTTTCCTGGGCCAGCAAGGAACAGTACAGCAATTTGCTTTAAGGGTAGGAATGCTTAGCTTTGTTTTAAAGCCCTTCCTTTTATTTAAAAGACAGTTTTTAACTCCAAAAGTTAGAAAGACCTGACCTTGGATAAAGGATGACTCATAAGACTGGTTAAGTAAGAACCCCCCGGGAAGAGACCCATTTCATTGGAATTATGGAAAACTTGTTCGTTCATAAGCACTCATCTTAGAAAGGCTGGGGGTGGGGGCCTGTTCCCCACACGCCCTTGGCGTACAGAAGAGAGACCTGCCAGTCCACTGTGGCTGACTGAACACACACTCCTACGGTGACAGGGACAGGAGTGGCCCAAGCTAGGAGTTCAGGTGCACGGTTTTGGACAGTGCTGGATGCTGTTACTTCAGAGGAGCTGTCCTCTCCAGTTATGAGACAAAGTAGACGTGCTCCTCAGTGTGGAAGGGAAGAAGGGAGGCAGCGATGTGAACGTCAGGCAGAGCGCCGCGAGTGTCACCGTGGGGTGAGTGGGAGTGCTGGATGTAGCCACACAGCTACAGCTGGGCATCCTTTCTGTGCCTGTGGGCTTTATATCTCTGTTTTATTCTTGCTTCTGCCCTGCGCTTCTCACAGCTGCCCACTGTCAATGATGGGATCTACTTAAAAATGAAGAGTCAGGGCTGGGGGTGCAGCCCTGAGGTAGAGCCCTTGCCTTCCACTTGCCTAACTGGGGTTCCATCCTGAGCATTGAAAAAAAGGTCTCCAAATATTTGCCCTTGGTTTCTTCACTATTTTCGGTGGTTTTGTGAAATGTCTGACTTTGGAGAGAGAGTTGGACACTTTTCCTTCAAAGTACTCTATGACTCCTGCGTGGCGTGGTTGAAGAATGCTTGAGCTTGATATACAAGCTTGGCTTTGTGTAGGGTCCTTTGCTTGTTTAGTTTGTGGTACCGAGAATCTAATCCAGGGCCTTCTCACTGAGCTATATCCACAGCCATTTTTTGTCTTTTTTCTTTTGAGACAGGGTCATTAAATCACTAAATTGTCCAGTCTGGGCTCAAACTCATAATCCTCCTGCCTCAGCTTTCCAGAGTGCTGGGATTACAGGCATGCCCATCTTGGGGTGCTTTTTCCTAACAGATACAATGAGAATACTCATCTGCCCAAGGTCATCATTGTCCCCACCCTTCTACCCCTTTCAATAGAGTGGAGACCACGGGTCACAGCTCCTACTTGATAGAGGATGAACTGAGGCCTCTGTGTAGAGAAGGATCTCTCCAGGCCATGCACATAGTGATGCACCTGGCCTTTGGGCCCAGACCCGAGTCCTTTACCCATAGCACCTGTTGTCTTCACGGGGTCCTGATTTTTCTCACCTTTTTACAGAAATTTGCTCTAGAGCCAGGCATGATGATGCACAGCTATAAACCCAGTACTTGAGAGGCTGAGGCAGGAGGATTGCCTCAAGTTTGGGGCCAGCCTGCTATACATAGCGGGTTCAAGGCCAGGCTGGACCGTGTAGTGAGAGAGACCCTGTCTCAAAAAACAAATGACTGGAGATTTAGCTGTATGGCACCACGCCTGCCTGATAAGCGCAAGATGCTGAGTTTGATCCCAGTACCAAGACAAACAAACAAACACGCCAGAAACTTTGCTCTGTTCTGTCATGAACCTAGATTGTGGATCAAACACGCTTACTACCTGATGACCTCCAAGCCTCAGGAGGTCCTTTCTAGAAAATGGGTGTAATGTACCTGGGCCTAGGTGATCCAAGGTGAATAAGATTCGACAAGCCAAGGCCCAGGCTCAGCCCAGGAGGCAGTGGAGAACCCAGCGTGGTGTGTGGTGTGGGCTGTGTGTGCTGAATGGAATTTCAGTGTTAGACCAGTAATGCAACCGCAGCCGACCCCCCTTCCCGCCGCACCTGCATCTTCTCAGGACGGGCAGGAGGGAGGAGACAGCTCCCCAGTCTGGCACCCTGGCCACCGTGGCCTGCGAGGGGATTTCCAGGTCAGGGAGCTGGCCTGCTGCTGGCAGTGGGGTGACAGAGTGACACACTCCCCATGCCGAGCCTGCGGGGGGGG